CAGCCCAGACCAGTCCTTTTTTACCCAGAAGTTCCCACTATGCCAACTTCAGATCAAACACAACAACAATCTCCACCAATTCAAGCCAATTATGGTACTCCAATTTCACTCCAACTTAGAGAAAGAATGAATAGTATGCCTACATCTAAATATCTTTTGTTGGGTGTTTCTTCATTTCAAGGGATATAATTAATTTAAAAAGTAATAATATTCCAATCGGTGGAAGGAAAAATAACATAGTAATGTGCTTATGAGCTAAAACCAAGCGAACTAAATGACTAGACTATGATAGCATGTGCAAATATATGCGAAAAAACTTCACCTACTTAGCAATAGATAAAATAGTGATAATCAATGCTTGGATTTAAGAAGGAAAATACATATATATATCCTCATGTTCAGCAGTTAAAATGGGCAGTCACAGAACAAATTATTTGAAAGAGCAGCATTGTTTCTATGCACCTCTAATTCCAAATAAAATAGGGAATAGGCAGAGTAGCTGATGAATAATCTTACCAAATATATTAACACTACCCGTCAATTACGGAAGGGTCTTTTCCATTGCTGGCTAAATCTGAAGAAAAAAAATTAAAATAATTAGTCGTGCGATAAATATAAGCATATCAACAACACTTATATACAACAAATATAGTAACAATATTATTACCTTGTTCAAGCTGCTCGATTTTATCAAGATCTTCCTCAACACTAATGGGTTGTTTTAATTTTTCATTTCGAAGCCAATCTTGAAGACACGCTAGAGCTTGCTCCTGTGAATTCATTTCAGAAGCAGAAAATTAAAACTTGGAAAATGTCACAATTTACTACTGGCTTCTTCCTACTGTAAACATATCCGTTTAACAAAATCGGCAAATTCAACAACAAATAGTGAGAAAAAACTGTAAATTGAAAAGAAAAAAATGACTAGCAAACTTCTAATAATGTTGATTTTGATGGGAATCATAAGTAAGAGTACCTGGATAAGAAGATAAGAAGCCGCGAGAGGGAGAGACGAGACGGCGAGTGGGAGACCGGTGGCTGGTGGAAGTTGACGACGACGAGGACTGGTGGCCGGTGGGCGGTGGCTGCTGGTTTAGGCGTTAGGGTTTCTATGATTTTGTCTTTTGATTATTTAGGAATTAGGAATGCGTTAGTTTTAGTCTTAGAGAATAGATAGACAATAGACTATAGAGACAGAACAGAAACGGGTTTGTTTTTTATTATTCAAGTTCAAGGGTTTTTGTTTTTTTATATTTAATATATATAAATAAAAA